AGATGGGATGGAGTGAAACCACCGCACCAAGGCGATGCTTCCCGGTCACTGGATCATCCCGGACGGCCCCGGCAGCCTCCTTGGGAAATGGCTCCGTGCTCCGTCGGCTCCTCAGTCGCTCCGTTGGTGCCGTCATGACTAAATTGCTGTGTTGCATGAGGCAGGTTCCAGCGACACTGCGTTAGCACTCTTATCTTCAATGAACAAAATCCTGTGTGGGAAGAACGTGCTCTTACCACGTGAGCTTTTAAATTCCTTATCTCCATAGATGCCTTAAGGCAGCTGTAATTTTAATATCTAGCGTATTCTTTAGGCATCTCAAAAGCATGTGCAGTGCTCATGGGAAACGGAAAAGATGAACACCCTGCAGCTGATTTTACGTGTTGTTAATCCATTCAGCTCACTTGTAACTCTAGAATATCTCCACACTTGTGCTTTGGCCGTCCCTCCCCTCTGCTTCTGGAAGTCTGACACTTATTTCTGCAGATGAAATGCATCTTGTTCCTAAAAGAATATCTCCACACTTGTGCTTTGGCTCTGTCCCTCCCCTCTGCTTCTGGAAGTGTGACACTGATTTCTGCAGATGAAATTCCTAAAGGATTTTTCTGGTCCGGAAATACTCATCCTCTAGGAGTTGGAGAGTACCTCGAATACAACTCGAGCTACCCCTTTTGCAGGGGCTCTGGACAGCAGCCTGGTTTCCCAGCCGTCTCTCCCTAGGATGACACTGAGAAATGTGGATTTCACAAGCCAGCTCTGTTCTTCTGCGCCGCTCTAGAGACACGTGGGAGCACCCGAATGCTAAGCGATGACAGGAATGGCAAGTGACCACTGCTTAACTCGAGTCTTTTCTCCTCTTTCTTTCTCTCTCGATACAGGTGACAGAACTGAACGAGCCTCTGTCCAACGAAGAGAGGAATCTCTTGTCCGTCGCCTATAAGAATGTGGTGGGGGCACGGCGCTCTTCTTGGCGAGTCATTAGCAGCATTGAGCAGAAGACATCCGCTGATGGGAACGAGAAGAAGATAGAAATGGTACGGGCCTACCGTGAGAAAATAGAGAAGGAGTTGGAAGCCGTGTGCCAGGATGTGCTGAGCCTGCTGGACAACTACCTGATCAAGAACTGCAGCGAGACGCAGTACGAGAGCAAAGTCTTCTACCTGAAGATGAAAGGGGACTATTACCGCTACCTGGCCGAAGTGGCCACTGGTGAGAAGAGGGCGACCGTGGTGGAGTCTTCGGAGAAAGCCTATAGCGAAGCTCATGAGATCAGCAAGGAGCACATGCAGCCGACCCACCCCATCAGGCTCGGCCTGGCGCTTAACTACTCCGTTTTCTACTACGAGATCCAGAATGCTCCGGAGCAGGCCTGCCACCTGGCCAAGACGGCGTTCGACGACGCCATCGCCGAGCTGGACACCCTCAACGAGGACTCCTACAAGGACTCAACGCTCATCATGCAGCTCCTTCGCGACAACCTAACGCTGTGGACGAGCGATCAGCAAGACGACGACGGCGGAGAAGGCAACAATTAGACCCCCCGATGGACTGGCAGCCGCACGCTGATGCTAACTACTGCAGTCTTTATTTTTTTCCCACAAGTTGGGGGGGTCAGGGGTGGGGGAGGGAAAGGGAGGGGACACCTTCCCAGGGAGACCCCCACTACCTGTCTTTGATTGCCTCGTTGACATTTTTGCCAAAACACCACTAGTGGAAGTCAGGCTGGCTGTGCTGGTTATGGAATAGCAGCCTCACTGGCATATGGACTGTTCTGTAGATTATTAATACAAGTGGAGCTGTCTTTAATTTAACTTTATTGCTAGAAATAAAAGGGTTTTAAGATGAAATAACTCGAATGGAATGGCCCTCGTTTTTAAGGAAAGCAACACAAAAAGGAAGTTCTGTGGTTCCAGTAAGGCTTATGTGCGTTTGTTTCTTCAGTTCAAGTGCCGTGTGTTTGTTACCACGTAGCAGGGTGTCTCTCCGGAGCGCCCTGCCTGTCAGGGCATGGCTTAAAGTCCCCATATTGAAAAGGAATATTAGAATAAACGAAAAGAATTCGGGGCTTGCAAAGCCCCAGGATTTAGGCCACTTAACCTTTTTGTTAAGATATTTATTAGGGTAGCTTACAGTATTAACACTAAAATGCAGTTTACAGTATTTCTACATTACAGCCATATGACATCAAGCCTTTGACTGTCTGTTTTCTTTTGCTAGTTCTTTTGGCTTGCTTTCCTAACAGTCCTCGCCTGTGGACTGGCTTAGCTACTCCGTGTCGCCCAAGGCAAGAAGACAACCCGCCCGAGGAACATCAAAGCTGCTCTAGTTTTTTGGTCAACAGCTTAACAGGTGCTTGGCTAGCGGCTGTTTAAACTATTTTAGTCCACAGCAAAAGAGTTAAGAACTTAATTAGAAAAAAGGGGGAAGTGTTTAAACTAAAATGCCACTAAATAAAGAGAATTCAGGTCTGTATGTCATGTACTGTGTTTGGTATTTCAAAGACCATCCTAATTTAAGGTGCCACAGCTGCTTCCTCAGGGATTGCACTGCCATTTCACTCTGCCTGACTTTCTCCCACTGTACCATGAGGTTTGTCAGCAGATCTCAGCGCTCGGGCTGCCTTGTTGGTCAGCAGGGAAGCCGGGTGCGTTTTCCGTCTCCTGAGGAAGCTTGTGGTGTAATGCGTGAACTTCAGGAGCTTAGAAGCTAATTTGGTAGAGAAATCCACAAGGGAAGAGCTACAATCATAGACATTTCTAGCAAACATCGGGAGCCCAGGAACTTAGTTCTCTTCTTAACAAAATCTTTTTTCCAAGTCTGTCCTGTTTGGCTGGGGGTGGGAGACGGGGCACCCGAGTTGCTTAGCAGGTTCTATTTTACCCCATTTTCAGTAAATTTTTTTACGTATCCGTTGGAAGTTCACTGCTGTTCTCTGGCTGCGCCCTGGGGAGTCCCGCGCCCGGGCGTTTTCCAACAGGCGTCAGCCGGAGCGTCCTGGTGCGGGAGCAGGAGGGGCTCCTTATCCCAAGATCCCGGCCTGGGATCCCTGCGCGTGTCCGTGTGCAGCACCCGCCGCCCGCACCCCAGGGAGCTCAGAAACACCCACAAAACGCCATGGACGGGAAGATTTATTTAGGCTTCTTCACTTTGTTTGAGTTACCTTCATGTCCAGTGAGCAGTGTTGTCCCAGCTGTATAATTTGGAAGTGATTTACTGGAATTACAAAACCTGTTTTTATTTTCCGCTTTTGCTCTGGCTGCTTTAGAGAAATTCTGCAGGAAAGATCGCACAAGAGGGCTAAAAATGGAGCGGGGGTGGGGGACTTGATTTTTAAGCAGCTTGAATGGTTTCTTTCATTTTTTAAGAAATGCACTTGCCTATGATACTGTCTCCAGTGAAATGATTACTGCTCCATTACTCTATTGATACAATATTGTGCATGCTAGTGTCGTATTTCTATACAGTAGCTTGAAATTTATTAACTTATACTGTAGATGTTATGTATTCCTATGACAAAATAGTCTTCAAAAATTTTTTAAAGTTTTTTAATTTATTTTTCTTTTGGGGGTAAAGTTTGCTCTACCAAATAGTGATCGTAACAAACTGATCTGTTATGGATGTTGCTATAGTGACATGCAATTATATATGATTTTGTTTTTAAAAAGGAAAAAAGCAAAAGAAAACACCAGTGTTAGCTTAATCTTAATGTCTGGTGTTCGTCATGGTGAAATTATAACTATTACAGTGTAGGAGAACAATGACTGTGTTCTTTGAATGAGCCTTTGTTTGTGCTTTTTGTCATGTTATGCAGTGAACTATTTTTAAGGTCTAATCAGTGATTATTTTTCCAACTCCGTGTTTCTGTAAGGAATTATTTCACACACGGACCATTCTTAGCAGTTTTCCTCAGTGATGGAATATCATGAATGTGAGTCATTATGTAGCCGTCGTACATTGAGCAAATAAACTTACAGATCTGATGTCAGTGCCGCTTAATTCTATTGCATGTGTCGAGTTTATCCGGGGCTCCCCCCGAGCGGGGAGCGGGGCCGGTAGCCGGAGCCCCACGGACGCTGCCCCACGTGGC